TAGCAGCGGCCGACCGAGATCCCAGAGATCGGAGATCGTGTTCGCTTTGCGATGCCGCCGACTCGTTACCAGATCGTTCTCGCATCTCCTTCTCATCTCGCCACGCATGCGCTTCTGCCGACCATCTCTCCATGCTTATACTATATACCGCGTGGAAATGGCGAGAGATTGGCGGATTTTAGCAGTGTTCATGGTTGACTGGATCTTGTCGAGGATACGCGGATGATTATTCGTCGGTAAATGTGTTTAGCTGTTGATAGGTATACGATCTTTCTCTTTTTTGCATCGATTTCTTTCTTTCAGAGAAAAATATCGGGTTAATTCGCGAACGTATGGAAAAGAGAAGAAGTTTGGTTATGTGCAAGATGACTGATCACTTTGAACGATGTTTAATATATGCAAAAAAGATTTATGCGAATCGTGAACAAGAGTTTTGAAGATAAGCTGAAGGAATATGTTTCGACAGAGTTTGATTTGATGAGAAAACAAGTATTGGAAAGAGAATCGATGTGTGTTTATGCATTGGTAAAAGATGAGACAAGAGTCGACATAACGTTCGTAAATTTTGTAACCGATGTGTGCTGAATATGCAAATTCTCCTTCTACGTGAGAAGTGAGATTGAAGATATATATACAAGAATCAAAGGTAATCATATGAAAAAGATTTCGTTACATGTGAATAGCACTTATAAACAAAATATCAAAAGCAATATGTTTTTGTGCAGAAACTAGAAATTGCAAAATAAATTTTCTTTATTATATTATTAGATTTAAGAGACTATTAATAATCTAATAATTGCTCGAATAGATTTATTCCATTGCAATTTGCACTTTTTAATTAACGAATTCGAGTGAACATATCACTTAACCTAACCTAACCTAATTTAACCAAATCAAAAGTCAAAATTTCCGCACGAAAACATACGTGTTATTGAATTCCTCTTACAAAAACTATCTACTTTGCGTAAAATGAAACGAAACCTTCAAAAAAATCAATAGACAAAGATATAGTCAACGAATCGCGAGTCGAAACTCGAAAAAAAGTGCTTCGTGACGAACATTCATTTCGATTCGCCGTAAACACTCGACGAAGCAATTCCAATTTCACGGTATAAATCTCGATCGTAGCTGTCAATTGTCTTCTGAATTCTAAATTCGAGCGTTTCCGCGTAAAATTGGGAGAAAAAGACGTAGAAAGCGGGGGTCAAACGCACCATTGTAAATCGGCTTCGTTGGAAAAATGATCGCGCGCCACGGTGAAGGTGATTTACCACTTTAATACGTTCGGGCATAATTCGTTTCGTGGACAGTAGTAACTAGGCAGGTCGGTAACGGTTCACGCGAAAAGGAGTTATCCCCGCGATAATCGTGAGCGCGGTTGGTGAAAAATCGTTTTGCGGAGGCCGCGCGTAATATTTTCGTCTGCCCGTTCGACGAAGGAGGGGCGAAGCTATGCGGCGAATTCGAAAAAGCGCCGTGAACACGGTGGCGAGTATTAAATGCCTTATCGCGCTCAAAGTCCCGCGGCAAGCCTTAATATTCAAGCGTATCTGGCTTGATCCTAGCAGCCGTGTCGGCAGATCGCGTTACACCGAACCTGCCTCGCTAATTTACCGCCGGTATTCCTGACTTTCTGTTTTTCTATGGAACGTTTCGTGTGAATTTCGTTGAATTGTGATCGAAAATTTAAGAGTCTCTAATGCGGAACGAGATAAAAATATACTGCGAGTTTCTGTGTTTATTATTTCTATATATTAATGATATAGAATTGTGAACGTGCGAGTTTTCGGTCAATCATATTTTGATATTTATACAAATGTTGCTTTCTAATTTGATTCCATATTCTATTGTTAACTTCGCTTTTTCCAAGAATATTTTTGATGTTAAAATTTCTTAATATGTATATCTTTTAAACAGTAAATTTGTCATTGAATAATACTAATGTTTGACTATTGTATTTATTATGTAGTTCTTATGTAGTTTATAGATTAGAAATATAAAATCGTGCGATAAAACATATTGCCTATATGTTGGAATTAAACGTTAACTATCGTACAACTATTATTGATAAATTTAACATTAGTAGACTTTAAAAGAATCTTATCTTATAATAAATAGGTTAATAAATTAAACCCGAAGAAATAGTACATTCGTATCTACTGTAATCGGAGAATAAAATCATTACAGATCCTTGATTATTTCATATATCCTACGTATATTCGATATCCTTTCGTATATATTCTTTCGAATATTTTGAATAATATATTTTCATACGCATACTCAAAAGTATTATTCGAATATTTTTTGAGCAATAGTATACGCATATTTCTCCATATCTTCGTACTCATCCTTCGAATATTTTTCACCGATAATATACGAATATTTCTCCGTATTTTCATGCACATATCCATTCTTCGAATACTTTCGAACAATAATATACGTATATTTCTCCATATTTTCTTACTCGTCCTTCGAATACTTTCGAACAATAGTATATTCCTCCATATCTATATATATATATACACTCATCCTTCGAATACTTTTGAGCAATAGTATACATATATATGTTTCATACACACACTCATTTTTGAACGATAATATAACGTGTATTTCTTCATGTTTCATACTCGTGTATTCGAGGATAGGCTCACTTGTCCGGATTCTCGGGCAGGTGGAATGGGTCGGCGGGGTAATCGGCGTGGAAAATCAACGCGGTGGATCGCCGGTGACGTCTCGGGTTTCTCGTGTAGCAATTAAAAGTCAACGATCGGTGGTTGTGGACGTGGTTGGAAGAACGCTGCGCGCTATGAAATACGCGGCGTTCATTGTGTCGGCGATATTTCCCGCGTTATCGTCCGCTTATCGCGTTATGACTGATCACCGGGTAAAGGGAGAACCACCGGTTAATACGCGAATCATTAAGCGTACAAATTATCGTGCGCGCGCGCACTATCCCGAAGAATTATATAGATGGCGTCGGAAATCATCTGTTACGTGCGTTTTCCACGATGCATTTTTAGAGAAATCGAAACCGCGACAGTAATAGCGTCCGTGTGAAACTCGCTCGTAGATGGCGTTGATTTTTTCGGTCGACGAGATACACCCGAGATACACTCACGGATCCCTAACCTATAAATCGAATCGAAGAGAGGTCGCCCCACTCGTGTCTACCCTAAAATTAATTAGAAAATTTGGCACTCTCGTTTACGATTAAAAATGACTCGTTCGTTCGGCCTCCGTTTGAACTATCGTATTACAGAAGTTGAATAACAGGTTCGCTCGATTTGCCTAGTAGTTTTAGGCATTTCGTGTCTATCTAACTGTCTACTGTCACCTGTATCGTATACATTTTTCTACCCAAGCCGATAGTGTTCTTATCTCTGAGAAATGAATCGTGATTTAGCCGCTTAATAAATCAATTCGTTATTCGCTCAGGTGAATAAATTGCCTGGAAACTTTTATACGCGTATATACAGGTACGTTCAAGTGCGTATAATTTAAAATATCAATAATATATATCGTTGTGAATCGAAAAAAATTTACGGCTAATTGATAAAAAAAAAAAAAAAAAAAAAGAAAAGAAAAAATTTAATATCACGATTCAAGGAGATATTACGAATCGTAACATCACAGAGGCAGGAACGGAATGAAATCGACTAGAAACTCGTTAGGGCATCGATGATGTACTCCCCCTTCTCTTCTTTTCCTACCACAGAATCCGCTTGCCATTTAAAAACCGACGTCTCGTTGGACCGCTGTTAATTACTCGTCGGTTAATTGCTCGGCCATAACTCGAGGCTTGCTTGTTGACCGGACGATTAATTAACAACGTACGCCTCGTTTTACCACGGTAATAAGTCCCCAACTTTTTTTTTTTTTTTTTTTTATTTCCAATCGTCAGATTGTCACACGATGATCGAGGAATCGAATCTCATAGACTAAGCCAAGTATATATATATATATATATACAAAAAAGAGAAAAAAGAAAGGAAACAGATGTTAAAAATTAATTTGAACAAAAAAAAAAAAGAAAAAAGAATGAAAAAGAAGAGACGTGGTGAGAAGAAGGAACGAATGAAGTTAAAGAAGAGATTGGCGGTATCAAAGAAGGCGAACTCCTGTTGGAAACGTACAAATGCGATTCGAGGACGAAAGATCGGAGAAAATAGTGTCGATGAGATAGAGTCGGTCAGAGTTGGATGGGAAGGAGGGGGGAGCCGAGCATCCTGTGAACGATCCGCGAGATATCGTGGCTGCTCTAAGTGCTTCCCTTCGCGGAACGTTCGATCGTTTGCCAGCGTGGAGTATGAGATTACGCGCGTATGACAACCACTAGACTCTCTCGGCCCGCTATAAAATTTTACTCGCGGCGTTAGCCTCGTCCGGTTGCGTCGAATTAGCGAATGGCCTCGAGACTGTTTTCAACCTCGTCGCACTCGTCCCCCTCCCCTTTTCTCTCTCTCTCTCTCTCTCTCTCTCTCTCGCGTTCGTTCGTTCGCTCGTTCGTTTCGGATCCGCGCGAAAAGTGTTGTTTGTGATGTTGTTTGTAGAGAGTTGAGGGTACGATATTTTTGGGTCGAGTAAGCGATTTAAAAATTTCTTTAAGAAGATTTCTTAAGGGATTAAGTTTGAATAATATTTCAAGGATTTTTTTTTTTTTTTAATTCGTTCGAAAAATTAAATGGAAATGGGCCGACAGGTGATACTCGGCCATTCGCGAGGATACAAAGTTGCAGAACCAGTTAATATATCTTATCTTCTCACATATTAATTTTGTCCCGAGACATTATATTTTCCTTTTTTTTTTTCCTCCTCTCCTTCTTTTTAATTAAATCGCCATAAATTCGAATCCCATCAAATTAGACACGACGACGCCTTTCATCCTCGAATTTCACGCTACGTTCTACGATGATCCCCGTTCGATCCCCTCTTATCCCTTTTAATTTCAAATTCAAATTGTCCCTAAGCCTCTTTGCTCCGTGCTTTTTTGTGCCGAACGAAGCGCACGACCGAAGCACGTAACCCCATCGTGTTTCGTTTTCTTTTCTCGAAAAAATAAGCGACATCCATCCATCCATCCAACTATCCATCCGGCCTCGGGATCCTCGTTCTCGTTCAATGGAGAGAATTCACCCGAGGTACGATTTATCTGGTCGATCTGAAATTTTACCATGGTTCGTAAAAAAAAAAAAATAAAAAAAAAAAAATAAAAAAAAAAAAAAAAAAAAAAAAAAATAAAAAAAAAAAAAGAAGATACAAACGCCAGAGCGTTAAGCTTCCTTCCCCTCCCTCTCCCCTCTCCCTCCTTTGTGGCTTAAAATTATTCAAGCGAGAC